CGGGCCCCCCCGGCCGAGGAGGCAGCCCACCGGCTTGGCTGCCTGCTGGCAGCAACGGTGGCTTTGTTCAGTCGTGGGGCCTCGCTCGCTGGTGCGGGAAGGGACATCCTGGCCGTGCCGGGTTCCCCCGTGTCCTCGAGTGGCGGGGAAGGGCAGGGACCCCTGGGAGGGCTCCTCTGGCCCTTCCTGCGCAGGTGTCACCCTGCAGCGCGGGGACAGCATCGGCCTCGTCCTTAAAACACGTGGCGGGTGTGAAGCGGGGCGTCCCCTGCCGAGTCCCTCGTCCTGGGCAGGCAGCGGGATGGCCCGGCCCGGGGGGCTGCAGGCAGGGAGGGGGGACACGGCACTCCCACCCCAGCAGGCTGGCAGGGAAGGGCTGAGCTGGGACTGGGGGAATCCGAGCCCAGATCCTCCCCGCAGCCGGAAAATATGAATAATTCGGCAAATATCTGCGGTGCAGGCGCGGGGGAGCCCAGCCAAGGCAGCAGCAGGCCGCTGGCAGGGCAGTCCTAACACCTCCAGCCGAACCGGGGCCCCGTCTCCGCCCTTGGGGACCACCCCGGGACCTGGGGAGGCTGTTCCCCTGCCCCCCCACTTTGGACGGGCGAGCCCCCCAGCGAGCCTGGGCCGGGTTAACCCCTCACTGCCTTGAAAATAGCATCAGGGCACGAGGGCGGGATGCTGGCGTGTGCCGGCGGAGCGGGGCGATGCCGAGGGGCAGAGGTGGTGGGAGGCATGCAGGTGGAGCCACCGTACCGGCCTGCCCGGCGCTGGTGGCGAGGCGGGGATGCGTGGCCGTGGCCGCTGCCAGGCCGGCAGAACCTGCCCGGAGCGGGGAGCCTGGCAGGCGGGGAGGGGAGGAAATGCCAGCGTAATTAAAGGGACGAGAGAGACTTGGAGTCAGCAGCTGGTTGCAGCACGGGACACGTCAGCGAAACCCGACCCTGGCATTGCAAAACCAGCCCTGGCCTCGCCAGCTTCCCGCAGGCTTGGCCAGGCTCCGGTGCTGCCCACCCGGGCGGCCTGGCATGGTGGCGGCACCGCGGGCATGCCCGGCACCCTGCGCCCAGGGCTTTGCCCACCGGCCAGCACCCTCCGGCGTCTCG